GCCAAAATAGGATAAGCCAAAAAGTGAACTTTTTTCTTTAAAAAAATCAATAACGTCTTAATGCTTTCTAAAAAATGTAAAACTCGGTAACAACTTTATGACAAAATCTGCATTTAAGAAAAGCCTGTGTGGAACCAGCACGATTACAGCTGGGGATGTAGCTCAGCGGTCGAGCGTTTGCCTAGCATGCTAGCAAGGAGGAAGCTCTGGGTCTGATCCCTCCCTCGTACTGCAAATCAGTAGTAAATACATAAATAAATTTATTTTTATAAATTAATAAGTTTATATAAATTTTTAAATAAATAATGTTAGTAAAAATAACTAATGAAAACTCAATACATGAATCCAGCAGAGTTAGAATCACCCTCATCGCCTTCTTATGTCCGTCCCCCGTCCCCCGTCCCCCGTCCCCCGTCCCCGTCCCGTCCCGTGTCCCCCACCCCCGTCTCTTTCATCACAAAGAAAAACATTCCAGTGAATCATACTACACAAATATCAGGTTCCTAGAGAAAAAGCTGTAAGTGTTTTTGGAGTAGGAAAAATAGCAGTAAAAGTTGGGATCTTAAATTGTAAAAACAACCGGCGTCAAATTTGTAACAGCAGAACTCATTCTGTGCAGCGAACATAAGGAAATGTTACTGCGATCATTTCATTTTCTTCGTTTTAAATGAAGAAGTGCTGCCATCTTCTCCCTTCCTTATCCATCCACAGGTTTTCTTAGAGTATTTAAGCACAGTGGGATCTTATCAGAACCAAACAACCACCGGTACTATTTAAAAGCTCTCCACAGCCTCCTAGGCAGGACAGGTTCAAGAGAGAGCAGAACGCCTGTGTTCCATTTCATGCTGATGAAAAGAAGCAGGGATGCTGTGTCACACGGCCGGATCGATGCTCTGAATCTGGGGGTAGAGTGGGGACAAGGTGAGGTCTCGGTCAAGAAACAGCTTTTTACAAATACACAGAAGTCCAGGTCGAATTTGTTAACACAAAGCTGTGTTGCCAGAAAGGCCTCCGTTCGGACGGACGGACGGACGGACGGACGGTGCCCCGTGTCATTTCAGTCTGTGAGTCGTATGGCAAGGGATAGCACTTGAGGAGCTGCTACTTTATCCTCCCAAGTAGGGTACAAGCCGCATGCTTTATAATCTCTCTCACTCTCTCAGTCCGTCCGTCCGACCGTCCCTCCCGCTCCCTCCCTCCCATCGAGGGTGTTTTTATTAGGATGTGCACGTTCAGTATGGGTGAGGGGATTCGTAGTGACAATTCCGAAGCATTTTCTTCATTGCATTTCTCAGCGGAGGCTCTGCCATTCAGAAATTGGAGACCACGATCAGTTGCGAATCCCTCTCCTTTTTCCTTTGTGTTCGGACAAGAAACTGTCCATCTCTGGTGTTTCTTACAGAGTCCTTTCTGACACGCACGTGACTTCTGAACATCACACACACACACACCACACACACACACACACACACACACACACACACACACCCCTCTCTCCCGGTAATGCCAAGAGTAGTCATCGAGCGCCACCTATTGTTCATTTTGGGCAACCACTAAGGTTACGAATTCCACAAGACTTCCATGCATGTCCAAAATAACCATAGCAAAATGGAGAGTCGAAACCCCAGTCAGTCCTCAATTCAAACAATCAGCCATGAAACGGTCACGTGCTACACCAGAAGTACCAGAGATGACAGGAGTGAGGGTGTGTGTGTGTGAGTGTGTGGAACACACTCGTGCATGGTGGGGGGGGGGCGGGCGTCCTCCCACAACTGAATCCTCGTGGATTTTATATGGTAAGGAATCGAGTGCACCAATAGGTGTCAGAGTGGGCTTTCGGGTCCCGATGTAAGACCGACCCAGCGGAAGAGCATGTGTCTCACTCACCTGACCCACCTCTAAGTGAGTCCCTCTCCCTCTCCTCCCTCCCTCCCTCCCTCCCTCCCGGAGATTCATCCAGGAGGAAGTATTCAGAGAGTGTGCAAATACACACAAATAGCGTGATATTTAGAGAGTTAGAGGCCAGCCTGGTGTACATAGGCAGATTTTCCTTGCCTGACTTGGGAAAGTTAAATAGTAAAAAGGGGACACCCCAGACCCCAGAGGTTGGCCCTTACACACACACACACACACACACACACACACACACACACACACACACTTTCTGAAGCTGATTGTTATTCGTGTGTGGGTGTCTCAGTTCTCCAAAAGTAGCCTCATCTATCCAGAAGGTCACTTGAGTGCAAGCAAAAGGAAAAGGCAGAGTCACAGCAAGTTTTTATGTATGTACTTATTTATTTATTTATTTATTTACTTACTTACTTACTTAGGGCATCGGGGTGAGATGGGGGCACCCGAGAGCTTTGAGAGTGGGAGAAGGGGGGTGGGGGCAGGAGTGTGGCGAGAGGGGAAGGAAGGGACTTTGAGGACACCCACCAAGGTAGTAAGGGCGGCAAGCCTCCCTCCCCACCTGCACGCTCGCGGCCATCAGGCGCTTTGG